AGGGGTTCTTAAACTATTTAGTTGATCCACCTTATCAGGGAGGACCCATACTCGCCACTATTCAATACCACAGGGGTTCTTAGACTATTTAGTTTATCCACCTTATCAGGGAGGACCCATACTCACCACTATTCAATACCATAGAGGTTCCTAAAATATTTAGTTGATCCACCTTATTAGGGAGGACCCATACTCACCACAATTCAATACAACAGGGTGTTCTTAATCAAACTATTATGTTGAGCGGCCTTATCAGGGAGGACCCAGTTCTACTTTTCACAAAGCTGCCAAGAGTATATTTTCTATATAGGTCATGGTTTTCCAAGTCCTGCCTATGTGAACTTCTCATTCAGACCTCTATATGACCTCTAGAACTATCACTGGGAGTGGCGACCTTGTGTTTTTGTATTTCCAGAACAAGGCTGCAACTCTATTAAACACCACATATTTTTGTAGAATGTCATGCTTTTTGGCTCTTATTTTCACTTTGTTCATGTATTATTTTTTCCCAATCTTTATAGATTTTTTTCAGTTATTTTCCAGGTAGAGAAGATTCAGATTTCTCCATAAACCACTTTTGTACCTGTGCACCTTTATGACTATTACTCTCAGATAATGTTGGGGGTTCTCCTGTTTTGTGAGAGCTGAAGAATTATTTTGCAGATGAAGCTTCAATGGATATTAGAATAAATGTTCCTTCTATGAGAAGGGTCTATCCCCTGGGTGTTAAGGATAAAGAGAGATGACATAGAAGCTCATAACTCTAGATCCATTAACTCATATGCAGTGAACTGATGAAATGTATGTTGACCTTTTAGTCAAAGTGTAGACTTCACCATTGTTTAGGGTAGCTGGTAATAGGTTTTTTACAACATTGCTATATGCAGTAATATTTATCAATGGCATAGTCAGTATATCTAATGTGGAACCTAAAGTGACCTGGTCTCCATTACTGCCTCTTAACTTAGAGACTCTGCCTGTCTTAGAAGTAGTTGTATTTTACAGAATCTGTTCACCAGGAAAGAAGATTATGGCGTGTAATAGATTTACATACCTCGCTACTGTCCCTCATTTGGAACCAAATCCCTCTGTCCCTCTTTCCTCCGGAGATGCCTCTTTCTTTGGTCTGGTGTACAGATATTTATATATGTATATGAATATTTAATCTATGAAATTGTACTATTTAACTACCAAAAGTGTTATTCTGCACTAAAAACCTTCATCCCCTCTCTTAATTATCTTTATTACTATTTCCAAAAGTCAGTATTAAGGAAGAGTAATTGTGAAATAAAAACAATTCTGGATTTAATCATCAAATAATTTTGGGAATGTCAATTCTTAATGGTCCATATAACTGGGCGTGTCAGGGGTTTGTCCATTGCCTAAATAAATTGTGCTGAAAGGTGTCCCTCTCTCTCATCTCAGAAAGTCGGAAGGTGTGATATTATACTATGAACAAAAGAAGTTAAACGCCATATTAAACGCATTGGTTATCAGCATAATGTTTTGAAAACTGTTTTCTAAGTTTCTCAATTTGAAGTTATTTAATTTTGTCTTTACTGATACAGTTAAGGAATTAAAATTAGTGTAACGACCAGAGTTTTATTGAATAAAAAAGATTTTGATGGTAGCTTTTGCCATAACTGCATGGGTGTTCAGGATCATATATAACGACTGCTGCAACCCTTTTGTCAGTTGCGTGCTTACATTACAATACAGTTTGGTTAATTTATCCTTCCATTGATTGCATTACACTAAAAAAACTACAAAGAAATGTGGTTTCAACATTCAGCTCCATCTAGTGACTCTGTTTTCCTTCCATAATGGATTGTTGATAAAATAATTGTGCTGCATAGAGTTAGAATATTACAGGCAGATTTGCCAGGTAAAATGTACATATATTGACTAACATTAGCTCAAAGTGGAGCCAAGAGGGAACAGAAGTCCACTTCCAATCCTTTTATGAGGTCTTTTGACATCTTCAGATTGTTTTTTCCAGCCTTCTGGTACTGTGCAGAGCTATGCCAAATAAGGTGAACTGATGTATGCAATGACAATTCTACTTACCATTGTACAACGTATTTTAGGGACATAATATGTTTTCTGGCAGTTCTACCTTTTTTTTTTTGGAGTGATGCTGAAGCCATCAATTATGATAAATGCATTTCTAAGCCCCCAAGTAAAGTCTTCTAAGCTGCTCCTCTTTTTGCAGGCAGAATATTAGATAAGCGTAACAGCAAATACAGCAAGGTGCTTACTGATATTATCACTGCCCTCAGAGTATTTCTTTAGAATTGCCAACGTTCCCACTTCAAATGAGGGAGAGCCTCCACATCTGATGTTTCTCATTATTTGGGGATTAAAGACTGAGGAGCATGGTTTAATGAGCAGCTTCAATTTAATGAATATACTGTTCATAATGCACAGCTGTCAACATTCTTCTTTACTGATCTCCAAGCTGAAGAAATATTTTCAGCTGGTTATTTGATTTGCACACCTTGTGTTTCAAAGATAAATGTGAACTACAAAAGTTTTTGTTTTTTTAAAGCATTACCCTAACTGTTTAAATTGTGCCCATTTTTCAACTCAGTTTAAAGGCATTAGCAGGCTCACGTGTAGTTCCAGGACAGGAATAGACTACCAGTGTGCCTAAAAGCTGCATTGGAGTGGCGCCATAACCATAGGCTCACTTGAGTGATGACTCTCCTTCAGACCCAGCAAAATTATTATTGAGCATACCCTTCTGTTCCCTTCCAGTCACCACGTGATTACTGCTGCAAACCTAAAAATGGTGAAATGTGAAAAAGACAGAGCTTTAATAATTTATTCATACCATAAACTCACACATTTAGTTCTAAGGTCTGAGCATGTGAATGAGACTAGATGCAGGCCATGTATGATTATGTACCACTTAGCACAATACACCTTTTAAAGCGATAAACCATCCATCACCTACTGTTGCAGTCAAACCATCACCCTTTAACATAACCAAGCCAGCCCTTTCCCCTTTTGTGGTTGTTAGCCATAAGCCATCTACCAACACCATATGCTTTGCAGCTATTAGCCACAATCTATCTATCAACTCTTTTCCATAGCTAAGCAATTGATCACTCCTCCTTACTTTCCATCATTCCCCTTTTACATACATAAGTCAATTGGCCCTTGTAGCCACTCCATCACCACATTTTTGTTCCTTTCAATAGTAAACATCCTTTCATTCCCCCTTTTTTGTAAGTAGCTATGCTTACATTCAGGGGCGTAACTAGAAATCACAGGGCCTCATAGCAAAATGTTTTAATTGGCCCCCGTGATTGCTAGTTATGCCACTTGCAGAGCCCACCGGAGAGTGACCCTGCAGAGCCCACCATAGACTCTCTATAGTGGGCTCTGCAGGGTCTGAGATCTCTTACATGTCAGCGCTGTCCGCCTCTGTGGTCGCCGGGCCCCGCCTCCTGTTCCGCCCCCGGGCCCCGCCTCCTCTGCTATCAACGGGCCCCGCCTCCTCTTACATCACTGGCCCCATCTGCTCTTAGGTCACTGGCTGGTGATGTAAGAGGAGGCGGGGTTGCTTTTAGGCGGGCCCTGCCTCCTCCTATTTTCCGAACACCGCTCTCATCTGCCACAGCGGCTGGCTGTTACTGACACAGTGACAGCCAGCACCCTTACATGCCATAGCGACCCAGATGGCCCTGGCCGGGCCCCCCTGTGCCCGGGCCCCATAGCGGCCGCTTGGGTCGCTATGGCGATTGTTACGCCACTGCTTATGTTTTATAAGTATTATTTATACTCAACTTCAAAGCCCAAATAGAAGTAGAAGAAGTAGAACAAATACTATCTTCAGAACAGCTTCCTCCTAAAAAGTGTCCAGTGGAAACATTGAATATTGACTTTTGTTCTTCTGCAGTGGGTGGCAGATGAGGCTAGCAGATTCCCACTTCTTCTTCATGCTGGGTGCAAGCTTGTTTAAAAGACTTAGGGTCAGGAAGGTGTGGACACTATGTAGTATATCAGGTTTTGCTGTCAACAACCAACAGAACAGCCAGGCTTATAATAAGAGGAGATCATATGGTTGAGGAAATCAACTGCAGAACACAGTCTCCGACTTGGCACTTGGGCACGCACTGTCACCAATCTGTACTGAGGATGACATAACTTCCGACTCCCTCTTCTATACACACATACACCAACCTATTGTTCAAGGCACTGGCCCACAGAACCCCTTAACCCTTACTAAGGCCATGCATATTCAGACAGTTGGTAGCTAGAATACTGGCCACAGGTTGGCCAAGCTGGCCTTATGGTAAAGCTATGCACTGGGAGTTGGCAAAACGATGGTGGTTTAAATGGTGGAGTCATCTCTTAGTATGTTTCTAATAAGTACGCTGTTCTCTTTGTTTACATTTTATGTGCTTAGTGGGAAGTTTTCCAATTAGTGAATGAACTAGATGGAAATCAGAAACAGAACAAAGAACCAGGAGCTGATTGGGTGTGCTGTTTTATTTCCTTATTCATGCACACCCTCTTCCAGATTTGTAAGGCGGGAGGAAGCTCACTGACCTCAGATTAACAGCTGTGCAGCAGTCTTTATTTTTCCTGCTTGTGGAGTCCATATAGCACTCCCTGCCAAACAGGAAAAATCTTTCTTGTCGCTTGCCAAAAAGTGTTCCATTCTTCCATAGCTGCTGCACCCAAAAGAGTCAGCTATAAACGCCATGGATTTAGTGAGCCTGGCTTTATATGCGTGGGTGTGATATACAAAGAAGCATGCCCATGTACAGCACTAATTTTACATACCATTTAACAAATGTAACACTCTAGTATTGAAGGCGCTCTATTGGAAGCAATTAGGATATTATATGCCAGAATCAATAGCCAGTAGTAATTCTTTATTTAAATCAGTACTATATAATAACGGATTACAGCAATTATGTATGTTGTATGTAGGTACAAGTGTATGTTATCATGTACTGATTCCAATTCCTGTTTTTCTGTATCCACAGGGCTGGCTGCAGCAGTATGGCTATCTGCCTCCAGGTGACCTCAGAACTCACACATTACGCTCCCCACAGTCTATGTCTGAAGCCATCTCTGTCATGCAAAGGTTCTATGGGTTGACCGTGACCGGGAAGATGGACAGCGAAACAGAAAGGTATGGTATCTTTCTCTAAATCGCAAATCTGTCTCTAAAGATGTTGCAGAACTAGAAGTCCCATGAGGCATTGCAAGACTGACAGCTGCAGGCATAACTCCTAGAGGCATGTTGGGATCTCTAGTTAAAGCACAGCTGGAGGCCCAGAGTTGCCCACCCCTGCCCTAAATTGATATGTTGTTCGGTCTGCAGAAAAGAAACCAGTGCAACATAACCAATGTGAAAACAATCAGTATATTTATTTAGAAAAAAGGAAATGTTAGAGTTAAAAGAGAACTATGGGGTAAATGTTTTTCCCTCTTAGTTCTCTTAAGGGTCACGGGAGGACATATACTAGCCTCCTCCCGTGACCCAAAGCTCAGTATATTGCGTGCTTGCGGTATACTGAGACTGCCGCAATGCTGTCGAGATCCACCCGGCTGCGTGAATGACAGCTGGCTCCGCCTATCTAGAGTCAGAACCAGCTGTGACTGTCCTCCTCCCCCATTCCTTCCTCCAGTCAGCGCTGGAGGATCGGACAGGGGAGGGGGGGAATCCCTGCAGAGAGCCGCGACTGACAGTCACCGATCTCTGCAGGGAGATGATCGAGAAGTGAGCGAGCGACGGTATGCGTTCGCTCACTTCCCGATCTATTGAGCCGACCTGTGACAGTTTCATTGTCACGCATCGGCTCGAAGATGATCGAGAAGTGAGCGAGCGACGGTATGCGTTCGCTCACTTCCCGATCTATTGAGCCGACCTGTGACAGTTTCATTGTCGCGCGTCGGCTCAAACTCTAATTTTCCCCAGATCTGTACAGTTATTATTGCTGTATCATTATTACTTGTACTATACAGTATTTAGAAATGTAAGATTGTCCAGACCACTGGATTAACTTTAGATGTTGATAATAAATTTAAACCATATAAATATAATCCAAATACAGAATTGTGTATGATATACTTGCTATTTGTTATGGAGTCACATGTTTGGCATGCCTCAAATATACATCAATGTTAGTCTTGTGCTTCTCACACTATGGCAGTGTATATCAAACAAAAGTGTTCAGCAGAGCATAATGACACATTAATATATATAGATGTATTTCCCATGTCATATCTATTGTTAGCAACTAATACCTGATTATTTTCAGGGCTATGAAAAAACCCCGTTGCGGAGTCCCAGATAAATTTGGTACTCAAATAAAAGCCAACATGAGGAGGAAAAGATATGCCATCCAGGGACTAAAATGGCAGCACAAGGACATCACCTATTGGTATGTTGAAAACATATACTGCATTTAGAAAAATAATCTGTTTATATTTCAGTTTAAGCCTTCTTACCTTTAGTATAACACTTGTCTCTTCCCAGCATAGAGAACTACACACCCAAAGTTGGTGAATATGAGACATACCAATCCATCCGAAGAGCCTTTGCTGTTTGGGAAAGTGTAACTCCACTGCGGTTCCGTGAGGTTCGATATGTGGACATTAGAGATGGACATGCAAAACATGCTGACATCATGCTTGTCTTTGCTGAGGGGTTCCATGGGGACAGTACCCCTTTTGATGGGGAAGGGGGCTTTCTGGCCCATGCATACTTTCCTGGGCCAGGTATTGGAGGAGACACTCACTTTGATTCTGCAGAGCCATGGACATCCAGAAATGATGATTTAGATGGTAAGGACGTGGTCACACTTAGAGTGAGCAATGTATACACAATATGGAGGGTAAATTAGATTAGAAAAGGAATCAGGATATAGTAAAAATTTTTATACTTCTGTTCATTTAGGCAATGATCTGTTTCTTGTGGCTGTTCATGAACTGGGACATGCACTGGGTTTAGAACATTCCAATGATCCATCAGCAATCATGGCCCCATTTTATCAGTGGATGGACACTCAGAACTTTCAACTACCAGACGATGACCGTAGAGGAATCCAGCAAATATATGGAAGTGGTAAGAGGCTAGAGACAACATAGTCAATTACAAAGTATTTCTATATCCCTGACAATTTACACGCATGCATACATACAAGGGCCAATTTCGACAGGAGCCAATTAACCTACTAGCATGTCTTTGGAGTGTGTGAGGAAACCGGAGAGTACCTGGAGAAGACCCACGCAAGCACATGCAAACTCCTTGCAGATGCCCCCTAGTGCTGCAAGGCAGAAGCACTAACCACTACGCCGATGTGCTGCCCAAGTATAGCAAGATATGGCGGAATACTTTTTAAGCAGATTAATTCGTGTAATAGGGTTTTAGCAATCCATATACCGTATATAAACAATATGTGAATGTTAACAATTATGCATAAATCTAGAGAACGTGGAGATGTTTTGAAGAGGATTTACTTCTATGTTCTGAGAATAAGAGAAAGCCAATTTCTATAAAGGTCATTGGTGGATAATTGAGTACTGCTTGGCTTATGCTAACACAAGTATTTGTAAATATCTCTATCTCATGTATACTGACCATACAACTTATACTTAGGCCGTGGGGAAAGACCACCAACACGTCCACCACGTCCCACACCTGCGCCTCAGCCTACTTCACATCCAGATGTCCCTGATAACCCAAATGTTCCTTATGGACCAGATATCTGTCAAGGCAATTTTGACACCATTACTGTGTTGAGAGGAGAAATGTTTGTCTTTAAGGTTAGTGAGTAGCATTCTTCCTCCTTTTAAAGAAACATTTATTATCTATATGTCTTTTCACTTGACTTAAACTAAATATCTCTGCAGGAGCGCTGGTTCTGGCGTGTGCGCAATAACCGTGTAATGGATGGTTACCCAATGCCCATTGGGCACTTCTGGCGTGGGCTCCCAAACTCAATAAATTCGGCATATGAACAGAAAGATGGAAAATTTGTCTTCTTCAAAGGTAACTAGCCAACGGTGTTGATCTTACAGTGTTCTATTAATTATCGAGGAAATTTAAATGAAACACATATCCTCTTGTTATAATCCTTTTGAGATAATTTTATTAGCATTATGTTTATGTCTTTTTGTATGTGTTCAGGGGATAAATACTGGGTATTTGATGAAGCCATTCTTGAGCCTGGATATCCCAGAACATTAAAAGAAATGGGCCAGGGATTACCAACTGACAGGATTGATGCTGCCCTGTACTGGATGCCAAATGGAAAGACCTATTTCTTCAGAGGAAACAAGTAAGTGATTTTGTGGACTGCAAAGACAGAATATTTATCCATCCAAATTGCTAAATTAATAAGGCAACTCCTGCCAAACAGCTAAATACATAATAGAACCACATGAAAGAGCTCTTTTACCTGTTAAAAGATTTCTAAGGTTGTGTTCACACCTGGGGTCATGTGTTTTGCCCACTGCCATGCACTGTAACATTTTACTTTTTTTCGTAAGTTGAATGTTTACAAGCATTCTATTGAACTCTATGCGCAATAGTGCATTGAAACATGCTGTGATGCGCTGTTATGTGTTGTGTAAAAATGTGTGCTACATTTCTATAAAACACACTGTGACGCACCTGTTTGGTGTAAACAATTGGTTTTTATGTGTCTTGCCTTGCTTTGAGCCTGCGTTGATTAATGCAGAGCAACACAACTCAACGGCTGTGAATGGTGTGCTTAGCAGCTGGATAACATAACGAAGGTGCTTCATTGGTCTGCTTTTAGCCTGCTCTTCGGACTTTTACTGAATATCCCTATGTTAGTGATGCCCAACCTATGCTCGCTCTCACCTCTAAGCATCAAATTATTTTTAATACCCCATCAGAAAATACCATTCATTTGCTCCCCCACCACTCTGTTCAGCTCTTGAGAACAAAGTATCTAAGCTCCATGTTGCTTCACTTAGCGCTAATGCAGGGCTGAGCCTTCTCCCTGTTTCCATGTGACAGTGCTGGCCCAATCAGCGAGCACTAGCACACATGGAGTCAGCCACATGCGGCCCCATACCCAGAAATACCAGGTATTTTCTTCTCTCCCAGCAGCAGAATTGAGCAACGGGTAAGAAAGGTGAGTATAGAGTATCCTGATTTGGAGAAAGGGCACTGAAGGTCTGCACAGGCAAAGTACAGCTTTGCTCCTAGAAATATTTTAGGGTATCATTTACACATTTTGCCTCATTTCTTTCAGGTATTATCGGTTCAATGAACAGACAAGGGCTGTGGATTCTGATTACCCAAAGAATATCAAAGTGTGGGAAGGAATCCCTGACTCCGTTCGAGGAGCATTTATGGGAAGTGATGGAGGTATGGAAGACATATTCTGCACCTGGGACACTTTCAAGTTATGAGGGTTTGATTGGTTGGCCATGTTTGCACAGAACTGAACACACCATATAAAAAATGTCAGCATGGTTTATTATAAGAGCTTTCAACACACCTTGTTCTCCCATGTGCATGTACATAGAGGCCTGACTGACTTTTGGGACAGTATGGCACTGAATTCACTAAAGCTGTCCATAGACTTTAGAGGTCAGGGCTATAAAGAGCACTCCACAAACTTGTAAGCTCAAGTATATATGACTGGCTGTGTCGGTACTACATTTCCCATCACACCTGGCGCTATGTCAGTTTAAAATCCTTGCATTCCACACAGAAAATCATTCAAATTGCAAACTGCATGTACAGGAACAGAGATCGTTGTCAAAGTCTGGCATGTGCCTGATATATTTTGAATGAACAGAAGTCACTGCTAGTCAAATCATAAGGGGATGAGCAGGGGGGTGGCTTGCAGTCAGGGCTTCGGAGCTGGCTATATCTATCATACATGTAGTGTGTGCATGCCAGAATGTAGCCCTGACTGGGAGCACACTCGGCAAGGGTGGCTCCATTAGCTCCTGCACCACCATGTAGCCACCCTCAGCAGAAACACCGATGACTACATTTTCAAAGAATGCTCGCAAAGGTATTTGAATATTGGTAAAAAAAAGTAACTGATCATGTCTGCTGTAATATATCGGTTTTGACATGTGGGGTTTAATAACACTTTTAAATGTATCTAAACACAAAACCTAAATTATAGTATATTAGCTTACCAACATGAAAAGTGAAAATGAATGCAGCCACCACATCTAAGGCCCCATTCCCACTGCACGATATGCAAATTGCGCGTTTGTCGCGCGATTTGCATATTGCGCGACATTGTGAGATTTGCCGCGCGATATCGCGTTCAAGCTTGCATTGAGCAAGCTTGAATCGCGGCTAAATCCGCTCCAAAAAGGGTCCTGGTGTAGCGACACACGACCCGCGACAGCAGGACCCTTTGCCCCATTGAAATGCATTGGAGCGCGATATCGTGCGGTAATTTGCCGCGATATCGCGGGAATTACCGCGCGATAAATCGCTCAATGTGAACGGGGCTTAAGGAGTGGTGAGCTGCAATATATTAAACTGTTGTTTTTGTGTTTGGCTACGCTGTAAAACTATGGTGAAAGGGGCTCAGGGGTTTTATTAAGGGTTTTTTTTTTACTATAATATCTGCTGATTTTCAGTTTCTGTTTCCTTTTATGTTTTGCAGCATTTACCTATTTCTACAAGGGTAACAAGTACTGGAAGTTTAATAACCAGCAGTTGAAGACGGAATCAGGTTTCCCCAAGTCTGTTCTGCAGGACTGGCTGGGTTGCAGCACCGTCAGGCAACCTGACGATAAAGATGATGATGACAGAGAAGTAGTCATCATTGAAGTTGATGAAGCCAGTGGAGGAATAAGCATGGCAGCTGTTGTAGTTCCAGTGCTCCTTTTGCTTTGTGTCCTGTTCCTTGGACTGGCCGTCTTTATCTTCAGGCAGTATGGCACTCCCAAAAGGCTTCTATACTGGCAGCGATCTCTGCTGGACAAAGTGTGAGACGTCACATGTCTGGACCCTCCCCCCCATTGCTGTCTCTCTGGCCCTCCCATGCCTCCCTCACACAGATATCATGGGGAGCATTAATAGCCTCCTGGGGAGGGAGGAGGGGAGAGAGGCAGTTTTCACCATCTTTGCCGCTATTTATGTGGCACACGATTGCGTTTAACCCCTCCATTGCCAGACTGGAGCCATGTCTTCCATAATGGTTATTGCACGGGTACAAGTTTTAGTTTTCATTAGCTATTGGTCGGTAAGTGCTCTCAGTATAGCCACCACTTGCAGGAGTCAGAGCAGAGATGGACACCCTCTAAAGGGTCTAGAGACATTACCTAAATTATTAACAGATGGTGGGTTATTCTTTACAAAACCCCACAGTCCCTAGCTAAGATGAATAGTTTTTTGCTAACTAAAAGACTTAGATCACCCAGCCTAAACCTTAGTCATGGCTGGGGTATGTGGAAGTGCAAGTGGGGGAAGACTAGCCTGTCTGGCCATGTGAGCTTTTGTCCAAAAGTTGTATCCTCTGTGCCATACTGCCAGTAGCACAGCTAGCTATACCAAGAGCCAACAGAAGGATGTTAATAGTCGGTAAAAAGATTGACTTCTGTATATAACTTGGGTAAAAGCTGTGTATTGGGGTACACATTTCCAGACTTTGGTGACAAAAGCAGTTTTAACAATTTGGTAAAATTTGGGGCCTGAGGTCCAATTTAAGTTTTAAAAAACAACAACAAAAAAAGCACAAAAAAAAGTTTCATAGTAACCAACCTTATGTGTGACAAGGACAATAATGTCTTGTCCTTTGGATTTTCAAGTACTGTCTGTGATATATGATCTAGATAAAGTTGAGATAGGTAAGTGTATTTTTGCAGAGCAGGAATCTGTACCTGGAGAATAAGAGGGACAAGTGTAAGGTCAGTAAAACCCAACTCCTAGAGTGCCTTGAAAACTGCCCTTTAAACCCATCCATTGTATTTCTAATGCCTCTGTCCTCTACCACCCTCTGTATTCCAATGGATATAGAAGGAAAAGGCTTCAGTCTCAGGGTCCTCTCCTGGTATCTGACTTCGATGATGTTGATAGATGCTTTTATGTACTTGGTTTAGTCAATACGTTGCAGGTCCTGGCAGAGGTAGCATTGTGTAGGCTTACTGTGATGTAAAGGGGTTGATCACTGCTCTGAAAGATCCTTGCAGTTCTCTTGACAGAGAAAGGACTGGGCTCACGATGTCTCAGTCCAAAACATTGTTAACGACTGCTCTGCAGGTCTCTGGCTGTGGTGGGGTTAATCATGGTTGTTTGGTGCCCCTGTAATTGGAACAAGAAACATCAGTGCTTTGTGAATCACATTCGCAGAAGAGGGGTTAATCACAGCTCTGCAGGTTTCTGTCGGGGTGAGGTTAAGAAGGGCAAATCACATGGTACGGTCAAGGGGTGGGGGGGTCACATTTCCTGTCTTGTTTCCCGTCTTCTTATTTTTTGTTTATATTTGATTATTATAATTATTATTATTTGATAATAAGGCAGCTCCTGCAGGTCAGGCCGCTTTGCATTTCCCATCTGTCCACTGCTAGAAGGATCAACGGAACATGTTCCTTTGGCCCCCTCTTGCAGTGAGTGGGTGACCACTTCACCCCTCCCCTCCAAGCATTGTGCTTGGGGTCAGAGCTTGCACAAGATTATGGGGGTAGAGAGAAGCATGTGCCCTTTCTAACCTAACCCCCAAGTGCCTTATATCACCTAGTAACCTCAAACCTAAAATGTGCATCATTCCCTCATTTTAATGTGTGTGTGGAGGGGTGTGGGAGACCCACCAAATGGAATTAATTAAAGCTTCTCTCATGTGGACAAAATTGTGTTTTTTATTTTATTATTTTCTAAAGTCTTTTGTAAAATCTACCAAAAACTATTTGTTATGGACCTATGGTTTTTTTTAACATTAGAAATATTAAAAAATATATAAAAACAGAGCTTTAGCTGTGTTCATTTATCTCATACATAAAAGAAGTAGTAAATATCAAACAAATGTGGAACCTCTAAAGCTTGAACGTTTAGTAGAGTGACCATCCTTGTTTTTATACTTTCCTGAATAAGAGCGTTTTATGGTTCTTTTGCTCCCTTATGAATTTTAGCATTCTTGTACTCCTAATTTAACGCCACACCTTTCCCACATTTTGCACCATAAAACCTACAAACACATGTGGTGTGTTACCGGCATACTAAAGTACTGTGTTTTTTTTACTGTTACTGCAAGTGGTCATTGCAGAAAAGTAATTTAACAGTGATGTATCAAGGAACTATGATCAACTATCAACCCCCTAACCCCCC